ATTCTTGAATGATTAGGGACTACTACTACTATAACTTCTTCTTAAAAAGGATCATAGATCCAAATGTCACTTAAAACTCAAACTGTACTTGTTAGTAGTAGCAGCCCTAATCACCCTCCACATTTATCCGGATGTGGAAAACCGACACCACGGATTTGTCCCGCGGTGCTCACCTCTTATGAAATCCTTAATTTTATCTTGAATTAAGTATACTTCAAAAATATTTCTTAATCTCTTTAAATGGTCTCAATGATATTAAAAATATTTAACACCCCAAAAGTATTTCCTTTGTATTTCTCAAATACCATAGATCTAATATCTCCTCAAAATTACATACACATAATTCAAAATTCACACTTAATCACATACTGCATAATAAGCATATAATACGAGGAAACAATTTTGGATTGGCAGAGAAACTTACCTTAATTTCCAATACTCTTACTAAGCTCTTCTACCGGCTTCCTCTCCAAATTCACCTTCTATTAATTGAAATTTTCAATGTCAATATCCATTCTACATTATGGCTTCGTTGTTCTACCCTTCTTTTTGAATTTGATTATTATACTTTAATTTTCTATTTTATTATCGAAAGTCCATATTACAGTTATCTTAATTTACTAATCACCGTTAACTTTAGTCTAGAAATAGTTGAGTGGTACTTTTACATAGTTGATTTGGGTTAGTCCATCTTATTTTATAAAGGAATTGGAATAATTGTTTTTCAACTGTAATGTTTGTTCACTTAGCCGATTAATACCAACAGTAATCATCAATATTTATTAAGGTCGATTAATCTCTATTAATCCTTAATTGAATACTAATCTTTTATATTTATTCTAGCCGAAATGTTATTTTAAAGGAAAATTAACCTAAATAGTAGTAAAACATTGAAGAAGTTCCTAAATAGGAGTTTAAGTTTTTAATTCCCTAAATAAGAGTTTTTTTATCCCTAATATACCTCATATACCCTTCTAATAATTAAAACCCCAAATCCCCAAATCATTCACGATGCTCGGCTTCCAGAGAGGCTTCTCCGCCCAAACCGATCATCTTCGCTTCTTCCTTGCTGTCCAAATCGATCTCTTCACCCGTCTCCATCTTCTTCCTTCGCCATCAGATTTCTCCACAACTGCCACTACCAACCGCCGCTGCTTCTCCTCTCCGATAGGCCTTCTCCGACCATCCGTCGCTGCAACAGGTTATTCCCCCTCCTCCACCTTCGTTTTTTTCTTTCTCTTCTTCTTCTTCTTCTCCTCTTTATTCTCCTTTGTCCTCTCTGTTTTCATCTTCTTTTGATTACTTATTTCAATCAATGATTTTGTTCACTTTTTCAGATTCAATATTTATGTTCTAGATCTGGAAAATTGAGATTAAAAAATGGTCCGATTTTTACTGGTGTTCGAATGTTTGGAATGGTCCGATTTTCACTCCTTTTCAATTAATTTTTGATAATTTTATTTTAATACATGAATATTATTATTTCTATTCATTTTAAATCTGAAAAATCCATGATATGTTTTTTATCCGAACATGGCAAACTAATTTAATGGCACTTTCATGACATGTGCCATTTTTTTCTTTTTATATCTACAAATTCCATATTATTTCTTGAAAAAAATGGCATCCCATGCCATTTTTATGGCACTAATTACAGCAGATTTCTAAATGCCATGTTTTTTCTGCCATTTTTCAGATCTGAATATGTTAATACATGTTTTTTAAGTGCCATAATTTTTTCTCTCTCAATATGCCATTTTTCAGATTTGAATATGTTAATACATGGCACTCCTTTATGAATATGGCAAAGTAACAAACATGTCATTAGTTGTAACAAACTTTTTGCTAGAGATTTGTAGTGGTCTACTGGTCTCTCCAAAAGTGGCGGCTGCCGGCAACGGCAAAGGCGGCGGCGACAGCTAAGGTGGCGGAGACAACATAGGCGGCTGTTGGCAGCAAAGGCAAAGGAAGCAGTGATGGCAGCTACGGCAGTGGCGACGTCCGATGCAGCGACGGTGACGTCAGATGCGGTGGCGGCAGGTGGTTCCGCTGGAGCCGGTGAGGGTGACAGTCATAGGCCAGGATGTTCCACTGCAACTTCCGTGTCTCCTTGCTCTGTAATGTTTTTGTTCGTTGTTGTATGCTACAGAGTAATAATAAAACAATCAGACATTTCATTAAGGGTATTATTGTCAACTCATGTATTTTTGCTCCTATAAAAGTATACGGAACATTAGACTCCTATTTTGGCATTTTGGTTATGTTTTACTCCTAGATGGGGAATTACCCCTACTTTCTAGCTGTTGTGGCCGACTGTTATTACCTCTTCCTCACCAAACTGTAAAGAATCAACACAAATTAGAATAAATAGTAGGAGAACTATGAATAAGAATATGACTAATATGAATAGAATTATTTAGAGTGATTTACCTAAATAGGACTAAAACAAGGTAGAATTTTATAAATAAGACTACTATGTTTTATTTTGCAAAAATATGACTAAAAAGAGACAATCTGACAAATCTGCCCTTAATTACAAAAGCCCCTGCAATTCTTCGGATCACCCCAGCCGGCTCTGCAATTCATCGCAAACCATATCTGCCTTCCATGAACTGCTGCTAGCTCCAACATCGATTGTGACCTAGCACCAAAGTTTCGTCGCCCTGCACTCATCGGCGTCCAGGTAGGTCCCTCCCCCCCTCCCCCTCCCCTTCTTCTTCTTCGAACATCATCTCCCAGATTCCTCTTCCTCATCTGATTTCTTCTTCTTCTTACTTTATTTTGTAAAAAAGTCATTTTTGTCCTCAAAATGTCATGGAGATGCAAAAAAACATGTCATTTTGAGATTAACTGCTTCTTCTTCTTTTGAACATAAAAAACATACATGTCATTTTTAGATGCTAAAACATGTCATTTTGAGATTACAACATGACATTTTCAAAGACAAAAACTTGTCATTTTAAATCCAAAAACATGTCATTTTGAGATTACAACATGACATTTTCATATTAAAAATTATGACATTCGCATATCATAAAAATGCCATCATTTCTATAAAAAAATGTCAAAAACATTGCATTTTCAAACATATAATACTATCATCTCCAAAAAATTGCCATCATGCCTACAAAAATATATCATAAAAATGTCATCATTTCTCAAAAAATGTCAAAATCATTGCATTTTCAAACATATAATACTGTCATCTCCAAAAATTATCATCATGTCTCCAAAAATTGCCTCTCATGTGACATTTTTAGAAGCTCAATGACGTATACATAATAAAAAAACCAGGCCAATATAATATCGAAGGAAAATTGATACGGCCTCAAATTTCATATCCAGAATCCCAAATCTAAAATTTTCAAATAAAAAAAATTACATTCTGAATCTAAAAAATTAACAAAAAGAAACAGAAAAACAATCTAAAATGAAAGAGCAGAGCACGACTCAGTAGAACACATAAGAGAATAAGAGGAGGAGGAGGAGCATACCTGGACATATTTCGACCAGATTCGTGGAGCTTGGAAACCGCGGACATGGCAGAGGGCGATCGACCAGAGAAGGAGGCAGAGGAGATCAAGAGACACCGATTGATATGCGAAAGAATTGGGGGCGGAAGAGAGATCCGATGTTTAGGGATTTAATACATCAGGGGTAAAATGGTAACAGGTAGTCCTATTTGAGAAATTGAAAACATTGAGTCCTAAGTTGGAATAATGACTATGTTTTAGTCCTAATTAAGTCAATTTCTTTAGAAAGTAATGGTTTTCACATCACTATGTCTACTTCCAAGGCAAAACACAAGATCAGATGAAAACAATGATAGGAACCTCCATTGAAGAAAACGATGAGTGGGGGTCATAATTAAAGACTAGCAATGACTTTATGTCATTTTAAATTCATTGTTACAATACATTGTGTGTGCACTTGCACTAATGTATAGTGTATGTGATATTGTGATGTTGTAAATTTTGATAGATAGTTTTGGTAATTGCATGATATGATAGCTAACGACATGTTTACTTGATAGAAATATTTTGTTGGGAAACATAGAAATTGATTTATGAATAAATTAGTATCTTTGATACAAATTGTGTACATACAAGTTTTTCGATTTTTGAAGTGAATTGTCTGTGACCAATAAAAAAATTGTCAAACATTTATTGTCTGGCAAAGACAAATATTGTCTGTTTGACAGAACTGTTTTGCCAGTTCCAGACATGAAATGTTTGGGCAGACTATTATTTTCTGTTAGACACAATTCTTCTACCAGACCCAAATTTAAAATGTCTAGCACACAAAAATATTGTTAGTTAGACAAAACTCTTCTAACAGGCCTAGACACAAAATGTTTGGCAGTTGGCACAGACAAATATTGTCTATTAGATAGAATTATTTTATCAGGCTCAGATATGAAATGTCTGGCACAGACAAATATTGTCTGTTAGACAAAACTCTTCTAATAGGCCTAGACACAAAATGTCTGGTACAGACAAATATTGTCTGTTAGATAGAATTATTTTATCAGGCTCAGACATGAAATGTTTGGCACAGACAAATATTGTCTGTTACACAAAACTCTTCTAACAGGCCTAGACACAAAATGTCTGGCACAGACAAATATTGGCTGTTAGATAGAATTATTTTATCATGCTCAAACATGAAATGTCTGGCACAGACAAATATTGTCTTAAATAAAACACTTTTGCTAGGCCTTCATACGAAATGTCTGGTACAGACAAATATTGTCTGTTAGACAAAACTCTTTTGCTAGGCCTTGACACGAAATGTCTGGCACACACATATATTCTCTGGTAGACAAAATTCTACTTAGCATATTAGCTCATTCTAGTGGCTAATGTTTGTGACGGGAGACTTCATGTCAATTAAATAGACAATTTCATTTAATGAAATGTCTATTTGGCAAAATTATTGGCTGTCTTGTTGAATTAATTGTCTGTCTCTCATAATGAAATTCTTACCATACAGACAAATAGGTGGCCAATACATACATAAAGATAACTTCAATCCTTCATTAGCATAATCACATTGTACATTCATTTATTTCACCTCTACAGGAACATAAGCTATACATGCAATATAACTAATTACAAGAGTGAAATATTAGTTAAAATTTGCTAAAGAAACTCTCTTTCTTGAAAAGAGCCTCTTTTATTTCTGTCAACTGCATTCATCATCTTGCGAAAAATGCAAAATCCATAATGACAAACAAAACAAGGCTGCCATAGTCAAATGTGCCTCTTCAGATTCATAAAAATCTTCATTCAACAAACTTCCAACATGTATACACCAAGGAAAGTGCACTGCAATAGTCAATTGTGAAATTCCATAAGAATTTGAATTTCATAACAGGATAACATATTGGATTATAAAATCTATATATTGCAAAACTCAAGGCAATCTGAACTAGCAAGAAATGTTTCAAAAAATTATGAAATAAAACTTCTATAAGCAAATTTTATTTAAAAATTAACAGCAAGAGCTAAATAAATGTATCTACTTTGGAACTGTATTTCCAGTATATTCAATCACTATAATCCTTTCGTGATAAGTACACATAGTAGTTAAACAAACGACCCAAATGAGAAGAATTTTAGTTAGAAATAGAAGCCATTTACTTTAGTGAATCTAGCATGACAGAAAAAGCTTCAGTCATGATCCACGCCACTTGAAAGTATTTATATCATGTTTTAAAGAGTTCTATCTAACAGATAACTATCAAGTGTTCAACTACAATGTATCCAATGAAAATTAAAAGGCCAAAATAAAACTCAAAGTTGAAAAGGACTATAGAACCACCAAAGATGGAGGATGAGAAGTGCAACCCTCTTTTACTCTTCATGAGGATAAGAGAGCATCCAAGCAATGCTTCCAATGCTAAAAACCCTAATTTCACTCACATTTAACGCTAAAACTTCAAAAATAAACATAGCAAATTCAAAACAATAAAATAAAGTACTCAAACAAACAATATTATGCACAATTTAAATTGGAAAGTTATAAAACAAAAATGATCACATAAGATGATATAAAAAAATTCACTGAATCATTTCAACAAACATGTTATGGACATACTAATGACATAGAATAATTGGACTAAATTTACAATAATAAACATTACAAATCTTCACCCTAACACAAAATAATCAATTCAACGTGACAAGATATACAAAGTATTATTCACGAAATAAGAAATAAATAACAAAAAAAAATTAAAAAATAAAGAAAAAGGAAAAAATGGAGAAAGAGTTGAGGCGCACTGTTGGTGGATGACCTTCGTTCGTGTATGACCACCGTTCATGGAAGACCTACATCTCCTGCGTTGGAAACGAAAAAAGGGCGGAAGAGAAAGTAGAGACATAGGAGAGAAGCATCGATTGAAGAGGATTGCAAAAAATGAAGCAAAATGAAAGAAGGAAAAAAGAGTTGAGGCGTACTGTACCTGGTGGCCAAGGTAGAAACTATAATCTATAATTGTGATTCGTGACCAAGAAAAAACACATCTATCTCTAACATTTGCTATAAAAAAATATAAAATCAGGATGGCTGAAAGGTCCAGTAATGGACTTAGGTTTTCAATTACTACGGACAACTCAGACGATGGTGACATAGCAACTGGCCAGCAAGATTTGATTACTATTGATGACCTGTTGAAGTTTGAGGAGGCAAGTGTATTGTAACTATAATTTGAAGGCAGTTATAGATAATATTTGACTCGACTTTTTTGGTTGATAAACAGGAAGGGAAGCATTGGGTTTACGGAGAGATAGTGGGTATTGACAACTACAAAGATTGGTCCTACATTTCATGCATCAGTTGTAACAGGAAGGTTTCCACTAACGGGGATGGCTTTTGGTGTTCCTCTTGCAATGCAAATGACGCTGTTCTTCGGTTAGTCATCTCACTCACAATTTTTTCAAGACTTATCCTGATTATTGCTAAAGACAAAAACTTTAACGAAATCAGGTTTAAGGTGAATGTGAGGGTAGTTGATTGCACAACACATGCCTCCTTTTTGCTGTGGGATAGGGAGGTCTCATGCTTACTGGGAAAGTCGGCCACCTCCCTCAAGGAACAAATAGCTAGGGTATGTGTTGGTACTATGTTCTATTTTCCTTAGTCTAATATGGGAGACTAACCTATAAATGTTTGCAGAGGAACTTCGGGCCGCATTACTTCCCTTCTGAGATAACCTCTCTCATTGATATAAAGGCTTTGTTTAAGGTGCATACTAAAAGAGAGGGAAGGGGTTTCAAAGGAAATCAGACTTTCAGTGTTATAAAAATGAACACCGACCCTAAAGTGCTGGCACTTTACTCTTCAAAGATTAATGCTGTTGAGGTATACATTTTAATTTTTGTAACTCTGGGTATAAAGACACTATCCCCTTCATCTTTTACGGTCTATTCTTGCAGGAGGAAGATGAGTTCACTCGATTGGCTAATGAGTTTTCAGTTCCTCGAAATGGGGTAAATAGTCTAAATATTTAGTTGTATCAAAGCGGCTTATCTCGAAGTTATGTACTCAGTTTATTTTTTTTAAATTTCAGGTTCAGTCATCACAGCAATCTGTGTCCAGCCCGCTGCTGTCCAAGGAGAAAAGGAGTGATTTGAAAGTGAATACTGAGAAACTGAAACGTGACCTATTTGGAGACTCCTCTACTTCAACATCTGGGAAAAAGCTCAAGGGGGTGAAAAAGGAATAAAGATAGTGCCTAGCCCTATGTTGTGTGTGATTAAGTTATGTGTGACTATTATGTGTTACTGTGTAATGTGTGACTTTGTTAGATTTCCGGCTGTGTACAATAAAGGCAACTTTGGCCACCTATTTTCTGCCCTTCAGGGCCTGGTGTTGGCAAATGTTGGCCTCTTATCAATGGTTTTAGTCTAATAACTCAGGCATAACAATATGCTAATCATATGTACTGCTGATGCATCTATATAAGATATTATGTTTAGATATACCCATGGACTGTTATGCGCTGGACTTCTATGGGAAATACTTGTGGTTTGTGGGTAGTGTGTAATGCAGTGCAAATAATGACAATGTTCTATAACGAGATTCAAATGGAGGGTGTGAATGGAGTGGCGTACCTGTTGCCGTTTTTCGGAGTCAGGTGTCCTGCCCTTAATCTATTCTATGTCTACTTATTAGATTTACAGACCAATGATAAAATAGGGAAAAAAAAATCCTGCACAAACATATTTCATTAGCAACGAGCCTATTTCTGGGTGATCCCGAGGCAGTTCCGCGCAGTCCCCTGTTTGAATCATCACCAGAAATCATCAACAAGGAGATTTTTTCTGAGTGTGTGGTTCAACTGCCAAGTAATGAAAAGAATTTAAAGTGAATGTTTGTGTTTTAAATTTTGTATTACAAGTTATACAAGTTAAAAATGTCCAGGAAAATCCTTATTTATCACCCAACCTAGCAGATAGTGCCCCCCTGATTTGCTGCCATATCCAAGGCAGGTAGTTCCACCAGGGCAGTGCTTTTAATTCCATTGGCTTTAAAATACAAAACCAAGTTGGCAATAATATTCACTGTCTAAGAGACCTTCCACTACAAATTAAAACCTATTACCACATATTTTTTGTTAAAAAATCCATGTGAAGCATCAGACTAAGGATTTTTGTTAACTTTATCAACTGCCATATATGATGGTATATTTACTTTACATAATGGCACTTATTTTTGTTAAAAAATCCATGTGAAGAATAAGACTAAGGATGTTGATGACAAAAATTTGGAATTTTTAAAGTAAAACACCAGAAATGAGCAATAATTCAAATGTTATTTGATAGTTTTTAACACAAAGGCCCACATAATGAAAATGGTTTGAATAGAGTGTTTGTTGGTGTATCTGTGGAACGGGAAACAATATTGATAACCTAATATACCATATATGACTAAGGTTAATGGCCAATTTTTAAAACACCTACGTGAGGAATATGACTAAGGTTTTTCTATTCAACTTTTTTTAAACACAAGTTACAGACATGATTTTCCCAAGTCAGTCTTCTAGGAATAATATTTTTGTTCCCAAGTAATGAAAAGCATTTAAAGTGAATGTTTGTGTTTTAAATTTTGTATTACAAGTTATACAAGTTAAAAATGTCCAGGAAAATCCTTATTTATCACCCAACCTAGCAGATAGTGCCCCCCCTGATTTGCTGCCATATCCAAGGCAGGTAGTTCCACCAGGGCAGTGCTTTTAATTCCATTGGCTTTAAAATACAAAACCAAGTTGGCAATAATATTCACTGTCTAAGAGACCTTCCACTACAAATTAAAACCTATTACCACAGATTTATATACTTAGTATTATTTAATAGATAATTGATAATTAATACTGTCGAATGTGTGCTCATGATACATTTCAATTAGAAACTGATTTTAAAGGTAAATCATATTTATCTTCCAATACATCAAAAATACCCCCCCCCCCCCCCCCCCCTCATTGCGTGGCATATCCTTGGGAGTAAGATTTACCAGGGCAGTTATTTTAACTACTTTATCTTTAATTTTCTATAAGAGGTTGATGACTCAGTTTAGCAAAATAAAAAAAGACGAAGTTTGGGAGCCAAAATGACACGTGTAACACAAATCTAAAACTGATTTGAAAACAAATAGATACAAGTACCAACACCGGTTAGAACAATAAACGTGTGTATTAATTTGTCATTTTGAAAAAAACTGCTTATAATATTTTTGTCAATTTTGCGTACACTTTTGATAATTTGTACTCCGTATTTGATAAACTACTATATAAAAATACTTGCTTCATCTTATTGTAAAATTTAGGTACACCTTTGATATGGGAAATTCCAATCTCTTGGGGACCGTGCAGTATTTAGATTTCTAATGTGGCTGATAGATATTTTTAAATGACGTTGAAGTTATCAGCTAATAGGGTTAGTATTAAAGTAAACTTAAACTATTGATTGTTTTTTTAAAGTATATTAAAATATTATAACATCTGTAGCCTTTTTGAGCAATCTGTGTCACAAAACAGTAATGTTTTTTTCAGAATTTCATTTTATTCAGTTGTAACCCTCAAATTATTATGACTAGATGTATCATTTATTGGTGTCGGAGAAATTGGAGATGAAACACCTTTGTGTATAACGCACTTCCTCTAGGTTAATTTTTTTTTGGCCCAATTCGAGTTTAACCTTTTTGTACACCGCGTGAGGGTTTTATCCAAAAAAAAATTAATTCAACTTTTCCTGTGAAATGACTTTGATAGAAATGTGGAAGATAAATATATTAACCACTTTGGTGAACGCCTAGACGCTTATTTAAAAAAATTAGTAGTATGTATTTGCTTTTAAATTATTAAAATCTTTTTTACCAAGTACAGATGTGGAAGGACATGTTGAGAAAAAAAAAATTTGGCGTCCAACAGATTCAGGGTTGGTTTGCAATAATATGACACAAGCATTTCTCAACTTTTGGATTACAAATCTCTTATCTCACTAAATAACTCCGAAATTATTTTTTTGGCACAAAATCTTTTTCGGTTGTAAGTTTATGGAGGGTAGTTCAATAAAAAAAATTCAGTCACATTTAACATGCTTTCCTGTCGAAAGAGGAATTTGATTTTTAAATTGTGTGGTTAATTTTTTTTAATGGCCAGAAGATATTTTGAAGACAGTGGGTACAATATTTGTTCAGTTAGAATTGTGGACATATTTCGTCCTCATCACACTAAATCTTTCAAATCTTATTTTAGGTCTGGGTTATCAGTCTCAGAGTGTGTTGTTGGTGTGTGATTGGTTCTCATTGAGTTAGTGGGTTTCATTAATAATTTTCACTGTTCATTGGATAGATATTTGGTTTTCACCCCATGATAGCCATTCCATTTACCATTCCATTTATAAGTAACTATTATAGTAAAAGCTTCACCATTGAAATACAGTCTTCTCTGCACTTGAGTGTGCTGCCTTTCTTCTTCGTTTGGTTCTTCCTCATCAGATAATTCAGTCCTGCATCAAAGTTGTGGAAACACAGGTTACAACCCACAGATCAACTCAATATTTCCAAAATTATTATATGCAGTTCCAAAGATTATGTATTTAAAAGTAAAATCCCAAGTCCTATATTTCGTAAATTGTTATATATTTTTCTCATAAATCAATTTACTGAAAAATTAATTGGTCTTTAGCAAGGAGAAAAGTACAGTGTATTTTAGGAGTAAAGATTTTATTTGTGAAGCCACTTCAAGATTTTTATGATGTTTCTAAACTTTCAAGTCACGTTGTGACTTTGGAATTTTTTGAGTCTTTTAGGTGGATTTGCTCAGTCTACTGCCATGTTCAAGGATTGTGAAATCTGTGGTCAGATTCGACTGTGTTGCAACATGTACGCGATTGGGGAGTCATGTAAAATCTGGTGGTGTGAAGTTTGTGATAACTTCTATGCTCTTGAGTTTCTGCGTGGAGGTATCCCGTGGGATCAGCTGCCTCCGGCAGTACTTTCACGCTTCTATGGAGCGCATGATCTCCGATGGTATATTGGAGACATGTTGGAAGCCTCTGGGGAGACCAATGGGGAGAGCTCCGGGGAGACTAATGGGGAGAGCTCCGGGGAGACCCCTGGGGAGCCCTCTGGGCTTAATTACACTGTTGAGGGGAACGAGGTTGTTCTGAGGCGTTCTACACGCCCTATCCTACTCAACCGATTCTATTTTGGAGGGGACTTTGTTGTTGACTATGAATTTGGTTGGCTCAGTCGTGTTTAATTATTTATTGTAATGTACTTTTTTGATATTGTGCACCTACGCTCTTATATATCTTTGCTCCTCTGATGTGCACCTATCATGTATTTAGTCCAAATTTAAATAACAATGGGCATGCATTTCTGTCATAATGTCTTTTTTGGACAAATATTTTGTACTCTGGGATGTGCACCTATTATCTTAGCTCCTCTAATGTGCACCTATAATGTAATGTAGTATTTTATGATGAATGTTTTGCTTTGAAGTTAATCATAGATCTTGATCTTCTCATACTGACGCTAATATTAGATACAGGTAAGTGATGCCGGTTTGAGGACTTAGATTATGGTTAAGATAACTAAATCATGTGTGTTGGGATCCAAAAGATCCAACAGAGGTAAGTTCTTCCCAGTGTATAACCTTTTTTTATTTAGGTTATTAATTAATGATAGTCACCTTTCAGCTATTGTCATCAACTTTTAAATTTAATTTTTTTTGTGGTGAGAGTGGGTTTCGGTTATGTGTTTGAAGACAACTGTCAGTGGATGATGTGGAGAAAATATCATGCTGTAAAAATATTATTCAGACATAAGGTCTTCGGTTATAATGTTCTTTAGATTATTTGAAAAAAAATACATCAGAATTTATTTTGGATTGGTTATTTACCTTTCCTTCATGTTTGCTGCCCTGTCCATAATCCCTGCTTTGAATGTCTTCTTGCAGATAATCCATTTCCTCCCATATGTTTGCAATAATTTTTGAGTGTTAATAAAGAATTTGTGGTTTTCATATTCTATACAAACATGTGAAATAATAGGAATGTGTTTCGTTACCTCCAAACTGTAGCATTGACTCTGCTGTGTTATTCTCCTGTAAAGCAACAGATAAATAAATTCGTTTTTCATGTGGTCACATGCTAAAGAGAAAATAACAAATTATTTTAAATAATCTTAAACCAGTAAGATAAGTACAAGAATACCTTTTGTATCTTTGTGTTGGTGTTTCTTGCTCCATTCAAATGCACTTCCGCTGTGGTGCAGGGATGGGTGTTCAGTGTACACCATTGTTTAGTAGGCTGGGCTTATTAAGTGATAACAAATAATATTAATAAGTGGTAGTTGTTACCTGGTGTCTGTGTGTTCCCTTCCATGTTCCCAATCTCACAAAGTCATTTTTTACTCCCTAGGAGATTGTGGTAATGTGGATTAGATGGAAAATATGAGGTTAGTATATTTGCAGTATTACGAGAGGTATTTTAAAGGATCGGTTATTGTATAAAGCGTGTGTAGCGACTTTGGAATTTATGTCCCTTTGTATTGGTAAGGATGATCTTCCGAGTGGTGGAGGTTTGGTTATTATTCAAGGGCTGGGTTTATATTCATATATAAGGTTCTGGGTGAGAGCAATGTTTCATTCATGGCGGTGGGTGGGAGTTTGGTTTGTAGTTAATGCTATTGGTTGGGTGGGAGTAATAATTGTCTGTCTATAGTTTTATGATTTTATAATATAGGTTAAATTATGCCCGATGGATTTTATATCTATACATTTAAGTCGTCTGTAAAGCGGTGGGAGGCTCGATGTGTTAAAGTATGAGTAGGTGGGTAGTGGTTGTGTGTTTTGAGAATATTAAATGACGATGGTTGGGAAGTGGTTGGACTTTAAATGACTTGGGTATGTGTTTTTAATTTCAAATATGGAACGTGGGTGGGTCCAAGTCTGAAAAAACGTCATGGGTAATTGTTTTTTAATTTGAAAATAGAACGTGGGTGGGTCCATGTCTGAAAAAACGCAGAAGACTCCATTATTTTGTGTGTACTTTCTTACTGTGTCCAGATTCAGGCTATCAATAAATATTTGTTTATATTAATTTTTTGATACAAAAAATTTTTACACGTAATCTTTAAAACCATCCTAGACATTTCTGGATAATTCCAATGACTTAATTCTGAAAAATATTCTAAAACATCATTCCGCATTAATTTTTTTTTTTGAGAAATTAAATACTCCGGAGTGTGTTGTTGCCAATTGCCGACATAGGGGAGTATATATATTTAAAAAATAAAAACTTAAAAGTGTGTTTGGTATTACTGATAACAACATTAAATTTTTAAAATTTAATCACATATAATCCTGATACACAAATGGCGGTTCATTGATAGAAATGATTTTAAAATGAAATCTGTAAAGGCAACTCTCTGTTTGGTTAAAATTGTTTGCTTAATGTTAGCTAAAATTATCGGGTGTATTCCGGGTTATTTTTTGGACCGTGAAAAAATAATACAGAGACGTTCAGATTTTGCAGATCTCTGTTTTCCATTCTTCATAGTTTTCGGGCAAAATATTTTCCGTTTTTTTCTTTTCAAAATACAATTTCTTTAGTGCAAAATATTTCCGTCTTGGATTATTGTGTATCTCCGTTGAAACTCAATAGGAACAAAAAAATTTTCATTTTTTTTGGGTAAAGATTCATGATAAATTTGTAGAGTTTTTTTTTTAAATAAAATCGCCAGATTGTTGATGGATTCGTGATGTGTTGGTGCATGCAGAAGGTGTGGGTTGGGTTTTGTGGTTTTGTGTGTTTTAGAGTTAGTGAGTTTACCTGTGAATCATTTGACGATTGGTGTTGTTCCCTCTCCGTCGGTGAAAGCTCCGGGCTTCCGGCGTTCACGCGGCGTTGCTCTGGATCTGTCCTTCACTTTGAGATGGATATCTGTCCTTCACAACATGGCTCGGCGGTATGCTATGGTGTTTTTTCTCAACCGGCCGTAGTTTTTTTGCTCAACTAAACGCGGATCTCCGTTTTGCTGGTGAGAGGGTTTGCCGATCTGTGAAGTTCGTTAGACAGGGGAGGGAGGGTTAGACGCGTGAGAGTGTCGGCGTAATTTTAGGGTGAAGTGGAAGTTTTGAAAGAATAAAAACCTGTGGTTAGACGTGTTATTGGGCCGTATTTGGGCTGTACTTATGTCCAGTACATGATCCAACGTCCGAAATGTTTTGGGCTCATTGTTTGGGCTTTTAATTCTGGTGGGTTGTTTGGGTTTGGCTGGACAAAACTTCCAACGTTTCTTTTTAATTGCAACAGTCAACTTTTTTGGCAGTGAATATTTTTCCTATTTTATTATTAAAAAATTTAAAAAGTTAATATTTTATAAAATTGTAATTGTAGAAATTTAACAATATTTGCTTGGTGTAAAAAAAACAATATTCGGCTATTTGGATTCATATTACATTTATCGGTAAAATAAAGTTAAAGTAGAATATGTAAATAGTATGAATAGTCCAATGTTTCAATTGAAAAATTGAAGAGGTAGTTTTTTTTTTTTTTAATATTTCTTATAATTTTCCCTTTGAAGAGTACCCTACACTTTTTCTTCTTTTGATGGGAGATATTATTCTTTTTGTTATATTCAAAACAACTATGTAGTATTTATGGATTTTTTTAAATTAGTTTTTTGGATGCACATAAGTAATCTATGTTCTTTTGATACGTATGTAAAAATAATAATTTCCGATTAATGGTATAGGCACTTTGGACAGTGAGGTTGTTATGTCCCCGACCAAACAACACTGTTATCGTTCCATGTCTGGGACCTCCCGCGTTGCTATTCCTTCCCCGAATTCAGGGCCGCTCCTAAGATTAACTTCTGCATCTCTTGATGTTGGTTGGTCTCTCATCAGCTATTTTTTAATTTATATCCAGTTTCGCATCATATTGTGTTTGAGATTTCATCGATACCGTTTCGTATTAAGTTCATTTGACTTTCATTGTTAGGCTTTTTTTTTCCTCAAACGTCCGTGGAAGATATTCGTGCTCCGAGTTCACAACAGTCGCCTTTGTGTTCAGCACCCGAAGTTGCTCTTTCTTCCCTAAAATCAGGGCCGCTGCTAAGCTCAACTTCTGCCTATATCCATGACGGTTTGTCTCTCATGAACCGTTATTAATTTTGTATCCAATCTGGCATCACTTCTGTTTGGGTTTTCGTTGATAACGCAAAAAAGTTGAGTTCCCGTGACTTTCGTGGTTAGGCTTTGTTGGTCCACAAACATCAGTCGAAGATCTTCATGCTTCAAGTTCACACCCATTGCCTCTATCACCTGTTTTGGATTTTGATGTATCGTCTTTCACTGATAGTGATGCGGATGATGAGTATGTTGACTATGATGGACTTCCTGACCAAATAGCCGACAGACAGATTGGTGCGCTTATAGTGTCAACCATCGAATTTGCATGTGTGGTTTTGTGATTTATTTAACATTGTATTTTTTATTGTTATTTTTGTGCAGAGTATTGGGACATCGGTGACTCAATCTACTCATGTGAGTTCTGTAACGCTTTGTTTTGGTTCGAGGAGCGTGTTCTTTCAAACTCAAAGAAGAATCTTCCTAAATTCTCCCTTTGTTGTAGCCAACACAAGGTTGTGTTGCCTGCTATGAAAGAACCGCCGTTGTTGTTGGCTGGATTGATAGATGGTACTGATGAGCATAGTAGGCATTTCCTCGAAAACATCAGATCTTACAATAGTATGTTTTCCTTTACGTCCATGGGAGGTCGGGTTGAGGGAAATGTCAATAGAGGAAGATCTCCTCCGATATTTAAACTCCACGGCCAGAATTATCACTTAATGGGTAGTTTATTGCCCCCCCCTGGTGCGAAGCCCAAATTTGCACAATTGTATATCTATGACACCGAGAATGAAGTTCAGAATAGAGTTTCATCTGTCAGGTTTGAAGATTTTCAATTCGTTAAGTTTTAATTAGTGTATTGATATTTAACCCTAATTTCTCTATGATATTTAATCAGCGGCGGTGTTAATACGAGGAAATTGGACGAGGGGTTAGTGATCAGCCTGACCGAGATGCTCAATCAACATAATGTTCTGGTGAAGTCCTTTCGTCTTGCCAAAGAGAAATTTGACACAAACAGTGCCCCAAATGTGAAGCTAAAGCTTATAGGAAAGCGATATGGCGATGCTCGGACATACAATCTGCCGTCAGTGTCGGAGGTGGCAGCATTGGTTGTCGGAGATTTTGATGAATCCTTGGGTGAAAGGGACATTTTGGTTCAAAATCAGTCTGGCGCGCTCCAGAGGATAAATGAGTTAAACCCGGCCTATTTTGGTCTGCAGTATCCGTTATTGTTTCCCTACGGTGAGGATGGTTATCGTGAGGATATTTTGTTATCTGCGTCCAGTGGGATAGTTGGTGCTGGAAGGAAAATGGTGAGTGTTAGGGAATTTCTTGCTTATCGTATACAAGAACGTTGTAGTTCTCATTCGACTCTTCTAAAGACCAAAAGACTTTTTCAACAATTTGTTGTTGACGGTTATACTTTGGTTGAGTCTGCTAGATTGAAATTTGTGAGGACGCATCAGACAAAGCTTCGTTGCGATATGTATAAGGGTTTGAGTGATGCTTTCTTGCGTGGTGAGCACGATTCACGCACACAGGGGAAGAGAATTGTGTTGCCTCCAACGTTTACTGGTGGGGCCCGTTATATGATACAAAATTATCAAGATGCTATGGCAATATGTCGGTGGGCGGGTTATCCTGATCTTTTTATTACATTTACATGTAACCCTAGGTGGCCAGAGATTGACCGTTTTCTCCACACGAGAAATCTGAAGCCAGAAGATCGCCCGGATGTTGTATCTCGGGTCTTCAAGATTAAGCTTGACGGTTTAATTCAAGATCTTAGGAAAGGAAATTCATTTGGCAGTGTGAGGGCAGGTAATACAATTGTGCAATTTTAAATGTTTTTTTTAACAGATTTTCTCATAGTTTTGTTTTTCCTCAGTTGTGTATACTATCGAATTCCAGAAGCGTGGATTGCCTCATGCCCATATATTGTTGTGGCTGTCAGTTGAGGATAAGTTGCCTTCACCAGAAGATATTGATAGGGTTATATCGGCTGAGATTCCAGATGTCAACCGTGATCCGTTGTACTACGGCGCAGTTAGAGATTTTATGATGCATGGCCCCTGTGGTGCCGCTTTCAAGTCTGCCCCTTGCATGGTTGATGGGAAGTGTTCAAAGCACTTTCCCAAAAAGTGGTGTTCTGAAACATCCGTTGATGAGGACGGTTACCCTGTTTATAAACGTGTCCGTAACAGCCGTGTAATCCGTAAGAGTGGTGTGGATTTGGACAATAGGTATGTTGTTCCCCACAACAGATATTTGTTAATGAAATATGGTGCACATATGAATGTGGAGTGGTGTAACCAATCAAGGTCCATAAAGTATCTTTTCAAGTACATTAATAAGGGCCGTGATCGAGTAACAGCAGCTTTTTATAAGACCGTTGATGGTGATACTCAACAGCAGCCTGTTGATGAAATTCAAATGTATTACGATTGTAGATACATTTCACCTTGCGAGGCAGCTTGGAGGGTATATGGTTTTCAAATTCAGTACAAAAACCCGCCGGTGGAGCGTTTGAGCTTTCATTTGCCAAACGAACAATCTGTAGTTTTTCATGATGACCAGTCGCTAGACTCTGTAGTCAATGCAGTGTCTGTTAAGGAGAGTATGTTCACCGCATGGATGGAGGCGAATAAAAAATATTCTTCAGCAAGACAATTGACTTATTCGGAGTTCCCTCAAAAGTTCGTGTGGAACAAAAAAATTAGGGAGTGGACTCCCAGGAAAAAGGCTTTTGCAATAGGCAGGATATATTATGTTCATCCCTGTAGCGGTGAATCTTATTACATCAGGTGCCTTTTGAATCATATTCGTGGTGCAATGTGTCACGAGGATCTGAGAACTGTGGCCGGTGTGACTTATCTTTCATTTCGCGAGGCATGTTATGCGTTGGGTTTGCTTGATGATGATAAAGAATTTGTGGATGCTTTCAAGGAAGCTAGCTTTTTCTCTTCGGGGTTTTATATGAGGATATTGTTCGTAATTTTGTTGTGGACAGAGTCAATGGCTCGCCCGGAATTTGTTTGGGAACATTGTTGGAGGTTCATGGCGGACGACATACAACACACCCAAAGGCGAATGTTGCAACATCCAGGTTTCATTTAGTTTAAAATAAATGAGTTCTTTGATGGAATATATGTTTGTGTGTTTTTTTGTATCGTGTGCGTGCATTCTTTGTATTTCATACTTTTTTACTAGCAATTTGAATCATCAATGTTGTATCTCCCTTGCAGAATTGATTCTTTCTGACGATCAGCTAGAGAAATTGGCTTTGGCTGAATTAGAAAAATTGTTACGAGGTCGTGGAAAGAGTTTACGGGATTACCCTCCAATGCCGACTGTTTCCGTTGATTCAATGCTTTCCTCCAGTGACAGAATGATATATGAAGAGTTAGGGTATGACAGGGCTGCAATGGCCGAAGAGCACGCAACATTATTTCGTTCTTTGACGGATGAGCAACTCCGTGTCTACGAAACGATAATGCAATCTGTGGGAAACGATGTTGGTGGTGTTTTCTTTGTTTATGGGTATGGTGGATCAGGGAAAACCTTTGTGTGGAAAACACTGTCTGCGGCACTTAGGTCTCTGGGCGAGATTGTCCTAAATGTTGCCTCGAGCGGAATTGCTTCCTTGCTTCTTCCAGGTGGACGCACTGCTCATTCTCGATTTGCAATACCGATTAGTTTGAATGAGGATTCCACGTGTAATGTCAAGCAGGGTAGTCCGCTAGCTCGGCTTATTGTAAGATGCAAGCTAATTATCTGGGATGAGGCTCCAATGTTGCACAAATTTTGCTTCGAAGCACTGGACCGTAGCATGAGAGATATTGTGCAATTTCACAAAGAAAATAGTGCAACAAAGCCTTTCGGTGGAAAGACTGTGGTATTTGGAGGTGATTTCCGCCAGGTGCTGCCTGTGATACCTAACGGCAGCAGACAAGATGTTGTCAATGCCACCATC